ATATATAATAGTATACAAAATTTAGATAAGCATGTCTTTAACATAAGTCTCAACGGACGTTAAGATTTGGGCTGTATTTTTTTTTTGGTTGTTTATTTTTTTTTTTTTTGCTTTGTTTTGTTTTGTTTTGTTTTTCTTGTGTTTCGGCTGGCCTGGCCCTTGCCTTCCTACATAGTTCCACTCAATTCTAGTTTCCCTTCACTGCTCCATCTGGCATTTTTCCCATAGACAAGGATTTCGCTGGCAGATTTTTAGCTGAACCAATCAGAGAACAGAACGTCGATTTTCTGCGCAGTGTCTGCTTGTAGTTTATTTTTTCTGGGCCAGTCAGCAAACAGAAGGAGTTGTTTTGAACAATGTCGATTTTCTGCGCAGTGTCTGTTAGTTATTTTAGCATACGGCAGTGGAGGAAGTGAATGAAGCCAGTCTGTGTTGATMAGRYTTCCAAATTAAAATAAATTTGTCTGACAAAGCAGCAGCTCTCATTTACAGTCGTCTCGTTTGGCTCGGTATATTTCTCCTSTCAGTAGGGTTGTTTACGGCACACGCGATTTCCGGTTAGCTTCTTAGCTTAGCCTCCTTCACAGCGACAACACACACATGCTTCAGCAGAGACCACGCCTCCTGCAAGAATCACTTCTCTATAGCCACGAGTCCAGACCCTCATACGAAGCAAAGTGAAGGACAGGGTCTAGTTTTTAACCAGGCTATGGTTGGGCGGGTTTTACGTTGCATTTGGGCTGGAAACTGTCAGTCCAATCGGGCAACCCTATTCACCTATAGCAGACTGTATTCTTGTTAGAGAGAGTAAAACACAGATTTGGTCAGAAATCAGCCGAGACACTAGTTTAATGAAAAAAACTAAGAGTCAGTTTTACACGGAACGTGTCTGAAGTAGACGACTTTCTTCTTTTTCCTCTTCTGCTGATTAATGGCTGCTCTCTTTTGCATGCTGATCAGTGAATTTGCAGCAAAAGAGTGTGACCACACTGAGCAAGAGTCCTTAACTTCCATATGTGTGCCTGCCGTGGTTGCTGCTCTGTAATGAGCTTACTCCGGGCCCCAGAAGGCGTGAAATGCTGCGGCGCTTCTGGATCATTCTGCTGCTCGGGCTTTGAACTAATTTGTTGCTACCACAGCACGCCAAAGTTATGTCATGGTATGCAAAGCAGTTTACATGTAGGAAATAAAACAAAATGTGCGTTTGTCTGCATCTTTTGTTTCACCGGGCGTCGTGTGAGTCGTGGACTCGCAGACGTGTGAAGTGGTCGCTGGCGTAGATTTGTAAGGCTGTTGGCCATGGAGGCAGATCTCCAGCGGGGGAGAATGAATAATGGTTCAAGGAGGGGAAAGAAAATCTGAGTTTCAGCAGATCGCCCTGACCTCAGACCAATTCTGAGAGAGAAACCGAGGAAAAGGAGCGTGTTAGCATTGTGACCAACACTTACAGTCCCCTTATCCTGCTCCCCTTTACTAAATTAAACCCTCTCCTGATTTAATTGGATTCTGTTTTATTCACGCTGCTCATGGGGAGAGACACACTTACAGCATATCTGAACACCCAGGCATAAACCTTTTAGTTTGATTCGGATCACTAAAGTGTACAGGGGGTTGAGGGGGGAGACCACCTTATTCTGTTTTTTTTTTTAAGAATTCAGTGAGAGCTGGGTTGCGCTGAGCTCTTGGGTGACATGTGACTTTTTCACCTCACGGCACAAACAGTGAGACCCAGAGCTGCGAAGGGGAGGAAGAGAGAGGCGTAGGGGGTGGGGGGGTTGAGCAAATCGGTTCCCAGGCAAGTGGCTCGACGTACAGGATGAGTGTGGTTAACATAAAACCCAGCAAGACATGAGAGCGCGCGATCACACACATTCGCACAAACTGAAACTCTTTCGCACATTCCCACAAGCGTGCTGCAGAGAGATAACTGAGGAGCCCACATCCAATGTAAACCATCAGATTTTTTTTTCTCACACGCCCACGCCCTAATACAACTGGTGTCGGGTGTGAGGAAGGTGTTTCGCACGCTGCGGTTTGTTTACAAGATTTTACTTGCTTTTTTAGAATCGACCGCGTCTTTTCTGATTATAGGTTTAGCTGCTAAAATAATACAAGCATCCTACACTTAATGGCATGAGTCGTGAGTCGTGCATCAGTGATGATGGAGGCTGCAGCTCAGATGATGAGATTTCTTTTGGGTCATGAAAACAACTGGTTTGTGGGCTGAAAAAAAAAACAGAAAGAAAAGAAAGTGTTGAGGGGGGTGTCAGCTGTGTGTTGCCTAATACATCTGTCACAAATATTACCATCACCAGCACCATCTGCTGGTTTGTGTCAACACATCGGTTTATCTTCTGACTGAGCAGACCCCCCTACACACGCACACACAAACACACACACACACACACACACACACACTCATGCATCACAGCCTAAACACTAGAACAAACGCAGAGGTCAAGCATGACAACAACTGGCATTTGTGCTTGTCCAAAAATTTAGAATTAATATTCTGATTTTTTTTACCAAGATATTTAATTGAAAATGCCTGAAAAGCTGGCTTGTATTCTTTGTTTTAAGATTTTTTTATATATAATTATGGGAAGTCATTGACATCTGGTGATAAAAGCTTTATAAAGAAACACCAGCCAAAACATTTCAATAAAATTTAGATTTATTATTGTTGCGTTAATGCCTTCCAGCTAATATTACATTAAGTTTTAGCTAAACATCTGTAGGGGTGGAACAAAGTGGACATTTGGACATTTTTGTGTTGACTAATGTGGATTAGTTGAGGCAGCCATTATAACACTTTCTAAGAATTTCATTCAAATCTTGCTCATGAGATATTTAGCTAACAGGCACACATTGTTGATGCCAGCAGTCATGCTATATCATACATATACAGAACTATAATCTAATTTGTAGGACAAATACAAATATTTTAACACGTCTGAATGTGAATCATTTTTGTTTTCAATAAGACCAGATTCAATTTTTCCCTTTAGAATATCAATAATAAATTTTTTGAAGCGCAGACATACAGTTTCAAAAAATAAACAGTGTACATTATTGTATTTAGAGCTTTAAAAGCAAGCTTACTGCTTTCTCATTTGGAGAAGAGACTTTTTCTTTATTAGCAGCCTCTTAATTTCTGAATATGAAACTGCAAACGTCTTCTCGCAGTAGTTCCAGTTAGTTTCCTTTTAAGGATCAATGTGACAATCTGGCAGGCTTTAGCATTATTATGGATTGTCTAAGTGGCATGTTAAAGGTCATATACAACATTTCTACTGTGTGGTGATTTGAAAAATACAATCTTACTCGCCAGAGTGTGCTGGAAATTGCTCTAGATCAAACTTCAAAAGCAAATAAGATGCTTGTTAAATCAGGGTTAATGGAAATGGTTTCACATTAAAGGGGTATTTAAAGAAAATGAATTTTCATTCCTAAAATTAAACTTGCAGTCACTGAAACCTGAACCACCCTTTTACTGTGATCTTTGCACAAGACAAAGAACAGCAGCATCAAATTGTCTGCATGCTTCTTCTTCCTAGTGAAGAACAAGTGGATTTTTTTTGTAAGTCTTCTCACTCAATCAAACCACTTCCTTTTGTCTTCAACAGAGTTCAGGCCTGCTCCGCCGAACTACTTTCTGACAGGTGACAGAGGTTTCTGCTGTGAGAAAAAGCTTTGAGGAGCGAGCCTGACGTGTTTACGAGCTCCTGGTGTTCAGAACGTCGGTCTGATGTTGACCGGAGGGCTGCGAGTGCGTCGAGCACACACAGATCATTATTCCTCAGCAAGCTGCTTCTCCACTTTGTTCTGGTGCTCCCCCTTTAGGAAGAGAATTAATATTGGATCTAATAAATAAATCATGAGAGCTTATGTGGGCCAAACCGAGGCAATTTGGAGATTGTTGGTGTTTGTTTGTGTATCCTCCCACCACACACCGAGGAGCTTGTCTTTACCTGCATTAAAACTTGTGTTTAATGAGCACTTATGAGGTTCTTTCCATTTTTTAGTGCCCAAAAATGTAAACTATTAGTCCTCCAACAGAATTTTCCACACCAAGGTGAAATTTAGGCTATTTGTGGGATAAAATTTGATTCAATTAAGTTACAGAAAGCTGGGGGTTTCTTCAAGACAGGGAGGACGATACTGAGCTCTCGCATTCTGACCTGCCAGGGATCATAGCTAATGTGGCGTGACAGAAGTTAGCAGATTGATTGTCTCTCGACACCAAAGGCGAGGGCAATAATGTTTTTGTGTTTGTCTGTAGCAAGTTCAAAATATGCCACAAACCAGCTGAATTATATTTGTATTTTAATGAAACTCTCAGAAAGTAAATGTACATGCAGCTAATTTACCTTAGGAGTCAGACCTGTTCAAGATGACTGTCACAGCTAACTGACATTAGCCAAATTAAAAATGTCTCTAACTCTGGAATTTTTACAGACATTGAGCTAAAACTTTGTGTGGTAGTAGCTGAAAATCACTCCCACCACATACTTTGAGCTCTGCACATTAAATGATAAGTTTGCTTAAAACATTAGCGATAACTTTAGCGTCAGCCCTGCTCATCTGTTAGCAAAATACCAATATAAAACCACTGGGCAGATTTTGGTTGAAACTGTCAGAAAGAATTGAATTGAACTGATTTGTTTTTAGAGCCACCCAATAAACCACAGTCAAGTTCAAATATAGCATAGTAGCTGAGTAAATCACGCAGTTTGTGCAAAGTTATTTTCCAGATTCAGCTAAAATATCTACAACTCCATCCTTTCTAATAAAATCATGGACCAAACCTGTGGTATGAAAGGCACTGGACACCTTCACAGCAATTTATTTCACAGCATTTTCTTTTAAGACAGACTCTTGTCAGAGACATTATGCACATAAAAAAATATACCAAAACCAAAAAGAAATGAACATAACAAACAAAAAAACATGGCAGGTAGTGAGCGTAAAGGTGAACACAGGTCAGAAAGGAGAAGAAAAAGTTGAATGAGCAGCAGAAAGAAAAGAAATGCAGAGAGGACAAGGTTCTTTGTAGTACACTCGGTCATGAAGTGCCAGGACAGCAGAATCTCAGAGGAAACTCTAAAGGTCTGCGCTTGTTTACACTGATTATGTGGAATGATTGCCTCAATCTGTGCACAAGCTGACAGAATCTGTTGTTCACACAGGGGTGAGGAGGTTTAGATGTCAAACTTATAATCTGTTAGGATTTTGACTTTAGATATACAAACATCAATTATCTAAACAACTCAGTACAAAACGTGCTGATATCCACATCTGTACTGGTTCACTGTGAGCAAATGGAAACATGGAGTTAAGTTTAAAATGGTTGTGTTTTTGGGAGCTGAAGAAAGTTTTCCTTGTGAGAGAAAATCAAAATAATGCTAATGCAGCAAATCTTGTGTGTGTTTCGTAAATTTAAAGCCATTGTTGTCGGTCTCTCTGTGCGAACAAACCTCTTTTATTAAAACAGTGATAGATTTTCTTTCTGTTTATTCATCTTTAGTGAAACTGTGCTAACTTGACGCGGTCGGCAGCAGGATATCTCCGATTTCTTTCAACTCCAGTCTTGATCTTTTATTTATCATAAAAATGTGAGCTTAGTAGGAAAACCCGGATTCTAATGTGCTCAGGTTATTTAACTGGGCTGATGGTGATGCCAGGGGCTCCTTTGGTTTCTTCTCCTGATGTAAATGAGTCGTTTGATCAGCGTGAATAACATGAATTATACATGCACACATAAAGCGAGGCGTCTTGTCCTTGATGTGGTACAGTTTAAGCTTAAGAGCACGTTGAAGTGAAACTGGCAATCTCCCACTGGGCATTTCTCTCTTTAGTTTTGGGGATTATTTTTTGCACTATTTTGTTTATTTTACTGCAGATATTTCTATTTAACATAGCATTGCTTTATCTTTCACAGCAAGTGAAACAAATTTAAGTCTTTGTGAAAAACTGATTGAATTTTGTGTCGAGTTGATGCTTTCGTTGAAGGGCAGCTGTGTGTCCCGAAGTATCGACAGGAATAAACTGTAACAGCCGAGTTCATCCAAAACCTTTTCAGACAGTGTTAAAGCTCTCCTGGTTTCACATTTTTTGAGTGGCCAGCTGACCAGGGACCGGCTGTCCTGGTCCCCGCTCCACTGATGTGGGACAATAATAGAAGTTCCTACCAGCGAGGTGATGAGACGCACCAGCTTCTCATCCCTGCATGCCTCGTTTTGTTTTTGCTCTGAGCGTATTGAAGGGCATCCTCTGGCACGAGAACAGAGGCTCGTGTTTGTATCAAAGTAGCGTGATGAGCTGGAGGCCCTGAGCCCTCAGACACTTCACGGTCAAAGAGATTCAAAGGATATTACGCCGGCGGCTCACTGGTCGGTGCTGGACTTCTTCGCTTCTCTTGCTTTCTTTATGCAGGCAGCTGACGAGATGACTGCTGTGTCACGTGACTTTGCCTCACTGGTATCTTCTTGGCTGGCACCGACTTCCTTCTGAGGGGAAATTCAATAAAATCAATATAAATTTGTTCCAAGTGAGCGCCTTTTATTTTTAAAATAAAATGCTTCGATCCCGATGGGTTAGTCTTTTAAATGCAGTCCTGTCAGATTGGCTGCTGCGTAACATCATTTCTCATGAACTGTGAATGTACCTTTTAGTTAATAATTAATGGCCTTTACTGCAATTTACAATGATGTGTTGGTGCAAAGAAAGACGATGGTTACGCTGTTTAAAGACTTTAGTAGTTTTTATTTGTATTTTCAGCTGCATTAAGCAGCATTTCTCAGTCACACGGGTTAAAAACTAAAAAAAACAACAGTGCATGCAAATTGAAGCTCAGCACCACACTGCCTGTTTTATGAAACATTTGCACATTCTGCACAAAAAAAGTGCAGAGCCGGCAAGGATAAGCTGTCATTTAAAATCTGACATGACTGATTTGTCCATTTTTTTGCCATACCATGCAGATGTTGAAAGTATTCACGCCGCCTCTTTCAGTCTCTGTTACCCTGCAAATTCAGGTCAACGCAAGTGAAAGATGGAGAGCCAGAAAATGCTGTACGAACACTTCAAGTTGTGTTATCTGTAAAATCAACAGTAGCGCACAAGTTTCATAACACTTTGCTCAAGCTATAGAAACAATACACATATTCATAGCTGTATTAAAATATGTGCGAATGACATGGTGGCTGAAGTTTTGAGGAGAGAAAAAATAGTTTTATAGCTGCTAATCAAGGTGATATCATGGTGACAGGAAAAGTAGTTTACTGAAATGTGAGCCTTTCTAGTCAAATATTTTAAAGCAAAAGTCATAATAGCAAGAGATTTGCTGTGACTCAGTCATGTTGTTTTAAAAAGATTAGCTTTTTTATTTGTGCTATTAACCAGTTTTGGGCACTAAAATAAGTATAATTTAAGCCTGTGATTAATATCATGATTAGAATGGTATTGGGAGACTTCCAGCCTGCAGCAGTGTATTTTCAGGGCTTTGTCAGAGGAAAAGTCTGTAAAACAATTGGCTCTTCTGCAAGATAATGAAATGCTCTGTATGAGAAATGGCCATGCTGGAGAATCTGTGAGCTCCACAATGAGCTACTGGTGATCATTAGTCTATTATATATTATATTTTAGGTGAGTTGTGGGGTTTATTTTCTTGTCCTCCCTTATTTAATGAGGTCATCTGCCCCCTTCTGGTCTGTAAAAATAATACAGGAGGGAGATGTTTGCGTCCAGGCTTCACTTTTCATACCTTGAGGCTTCTTCAAACACAAATATACGTTTTGCTGATTTACTGACAAGTAGAGGTAACATGTTGTGGTAATGTTTTGTATAATCATTACTCTTTTTTTAGCTTGTTGATGTTTATGTAACAAATTATCATTGCAGGGATTTGTTTTCATAGCACTTTAAGTTAAATGAATGTCATCCATAAAATATAAAATGGTAGTAAAACTTGGGACATAAAAAAGGTTTGGTTTTGCCTGAATTTAAAAGTAGGACGTTATTGTCCATCTAAGTTTTTTTGTCCCCAAAAATGGATCTAACCAGCAAATATATAGATTTCCCAGGTGTCATAGTTATTTACAGCTGGGTGTCATAACTAAAAATGTTTCCTTTTTTTTTTCAAATGCTACATAGGAAGCTTGTAAAAGTAGAAAAGAACTGGGCCAAGTCCAGAGCCATGTGGATTACCATAAGTACCAATGTATACTTAGGCCTCATTATAAATATTTTTACATTAGTTGAAAATACTTAAAATATTAATCATAATAATACTGTTAAGTCTTTGTAATAAAATTTTGTGTTTATATCAAATACAGCACTGAGATCAGACAGAACCAACACAGATAAGATTACTGTTGGAGACAATAAGTCACTTTTAACTAATTCAGTTTCAGGACTACAGTATAATGTCTTCTTGATTAAGACTCATACAAACCTATTATACAAATGGGGATTTTTCTTTTAGAATATACATTTAGTTTGCCACATTTTACCCTAAACTTCTAATACTTTTTAAAAACAGGTGTACAGTAAATGTGATCTTTTAATCAAACTGTGTTCTTCGCATCTAAATCGCATTCATTGGGACTTGATGACATCTCTCTTTCAATTTAATGATAATTCTGGAATCACTCTGAAACTTTTCAGATCTCTTATAACGCCAGAGTTTGTATAAAAGGTTTAGTTTTGCTAGTTTTGACTCATTCTTGGTTCAAATCCCTGCTTTTTCTGAGAAAGAAATTGGTTCCTGAGCTGTAATCTGCTGTTTGAACCGAGGCTCTGGCACCCTGAAAAGAAGGTCGCTGAATTCTGTGCTATTAATACATCAATGGCTTTTGTCCGCTGTGCTCCACTCATTTTGAAATGTGAGCTGAACTTTTGCCTGTGTTCACCACAGAGTCCAGCCTCTCCAAATGTCATCCTGAATCGGGCTCTGCTCTGGTACTTTGTACACGAGTCACGCCGTCTCATCCCATTGCACTTCTGCGTCTGTGTTGAAGCTCTTGACATTCTAACGTGTGTGTTTATCGTGGGATGCAGGGGTGAAAACTGCCTGCTCCTTTCAGGGTTTTCAGCCTTAGCGTTGAAAGCTGTGGTGCAGCATTCTGGCATCATGTTGTCCACTGAGTGTGTTTTTTTTGTCCTTGGGTTTTCTTTTGCTCATTTTTATTTCTGTTCCCTTCTAGTGTTCCTGCTCTCCCCGTGAAGAATCTGACTGGCTCAGGACCAGTACATCCAGCACTTGCAGGTTAGACAGAAAATGTGCAGCATTTGTGTAAGCTAAGAAAAAAACAGATTTTTGAGGATTTATGCCTCTTTTCCCCTCAAATAAAAAAACCCTACATTTATTTATACAGAAGGAAATTTACCATCACTGTTTTTCCCCACTCTTTTGTCTGTTTGTGTGGTCCACATATGTGTCAGGTATGACAGGTATCCTGATGTGCGCTGCAGGTCTGCCAGTTTGCCTGACTCGAGCTCCAAAGCCCATCCTACACCCACCCCCGATCAACAAGAGCGACATGAAGCCTGTGCCGGGGATCAACGGCATGCGCCGCAAAACCAAAAAGAAGCACCTCAAGAGAGGTGAGCATATTAGATGATAATAAAAAAAGAGAACATATAAAGATAAGTGTCAAAGAATGAATCAGAAAAACGCTGTGAAAAGTCTACAAGGAGTATTTGTCTTGGAAAGATTTGCTCAATGTTTACACAGTTTTGCATTAGTTTTGTTAAAAAACCTCGAACAAATGTCTAAACACAGTTCTATTTAAGTTCTGCAGTGGTTACATTTGGTTTAATCTCACCTTGTAAACAATTTCTGTACCTTTATAAAATGCTCATTTAAATGTAATGAACTTAGATTTAAAAGTACACAGAGTATGTAATTACTGTATTTTATGGAAGGAACAAATGCCTTCTGTTGAACAAAGTAATGAACAAGGTTGTGCTGTTGTTGTTAACTGCCTTTTAAAAGGGATTGTTTAGTTGGACCACTCTAGTAAGTGCAAGCTGGCCTCTCAGTGGACCAAGGGAGACGTAATTGATTGGTGTGGCTGTTGGATGTCCATCTGCTCTGTAGTTTCTTTCAAGACTCTCTTTACTCCGGTACTTGGGCGTGATGAGATGATGCACTCACGGCAGATTTTTCAGATTTACACTTCACTGAGAAGAATTCATAAGAAATTACCTGCAAAGGGAAATAAAACAATAGCATTCATACTGAACCCTGTTTCAATTACACAGATAATCAGCAGAATGAGTTGAGTGTTGTGTTCGGCGACAATGCAAACAGATACTAATACATTTCTCTGTGTTAGTGGCATTCACCATGTGCATGTGTGTGGCCATTTGCTTGTCTTTCTGTTAGCAAAATATCTTTTGAACCAGAGAACAGACTTGAATGAAACTCATCTACAACTGATTATCTTTAGATTCAACCTAATTCAAGTTGGTCACCACATCTAATCAACCTAAGCTAACAGATAAATGGTTGTAATTTAGTCCGTTTTACAGATACTGAGCGAAAACCTGGTGTGGTAGTAGCTGCAAGTCATCTCCACGGTATATTTTGAGCACCAACGAATTAGGAAAAATGTTTGTTTAAAACTTTGGCAATCAAGACGGCGAGCGATATTCGTTTCTTTTTTTTTCCGTTTCTGTAAACAAAACTGTTTTCCTTCCTAAAGGAAATGCATTGTGTGCATTTGACATAAAGAGATTCAGACTTCCACTTGTGAAAATTAAAAATTATTCCTACCGTTATCCCAACTTTTCTTATGTAGGGCAGCCATGTTGGATTTTGTGAGCCAGGCTGCTCAGAACTATATAACTTTTCAAGTTGTAATTCTGGTTTTCTGCGAATCCATTTGACTTACAAATGATTGGACCAATAATAAAGAAGAAAATCATTCTTGCTGGTATGAATTCATGTTTTAATGAAACAAGGGAGTACCTATAGGTCAACTGCATCAACACATTATGGATCAAATAAAACCTTAAAGTATTGCAATTAATGTTAGCCACATCCAGCCTTACTCGTCATACCAAATATAACTAAAATAGCTTTGCAGGTGTTTGAACATACCTGAAAGAGAACTTGACTGCCATCAAGTGTGACTGTGGGTTTAATGTCTTGCCCAAGGACATTTTGTAACAGCTTCACTTAAAAGAAAAATCAATAAGAGAAATTGTTTAAAATTGATGTTGGTCATATACCCAAATACAGAAACTGAGGTATTTCTTCAAAAAAATACATTAATTCACAAACAGGTACTTCCGTCTGGATCAAAAATGCAGACCCATTGCATAATCTTGCAGAACAACTGGATTTAAGCCAGATTTGCAAGATTGTAATCACACAAGAATGCATCCTGCCATGTTTCAAGCTGTGTGTTTGTGGCTCAGGCGTGCTTGTTTTGGCCCAAACAACATCCTGTACTGGCAGCCATCGACAGATTTTAGGTCAGACAAGACTCAACATTTAAAAAAAAGGCTAAGAGATATAACTTTGATACTGCTAGCATCAGGTATACAAACTGAAGAGTGCGATCCTTTTGTTCCGTAATAGGCAATGCATGTTTATTTTATTGTTGTTGAGAGTCTGAAAAAACAATCCGAGTAATTTACAATCACAAAAAATGAGTCATCAGATATTATTTAAAAAATATAAAATTTATTTTTTTATTTATGGGGGGTGGTATCTGTTTATTATTATTATTATTATTATTATTAT